CACAGAGACACTGTATTAGATATAATTCTGTTGGCCTGCTACTAGCATTTCTTATTGGCTAGCTCTGTCTTAAATATTAACCCTTTTTTATTAATCTGAATATTTCCATGTGGTCTTATCTTGCTGTCCTCCATGTTGAATCTCCTCCCTACTCTTCCTCTCTCCTCCTTGTCTCCTAGTCCCGCCTATCTTGCTTTCCTATTGGCCAACAGTCCTTTACTCATTAACCAATATGAGAAACATATTTACAGAATGACATCTCCCATCATCTCCTCTTTTCTGTCTAAAATAAAAGAACGGTTTTAACTTTAATATAGTAAAATATGTAACAAAACAGTTATCAAACAACAACCACAGTTAACAATATTTAGTCCATTAATATTTAGCAAGATTTAAAGAAAATATTCCATCATCTATCCTTTCTTTGTGAGTTTGAAGTCCTATATGTAACTTATCTTTAATCCTTACTAAGGAAAACTATAACCATAACTATCTGTCTTCAACTCCTTCAAAGACCACAGAAGGATAATATATAAACTCTAGAAATGACAGACAACTCACTGCCTGGTCAGTCACCTGAACTTCTTCTGTAATGTTCCATCTTCAGCCTATAGGCCGTAGTGTGTTTGGCAGACTCCTCAGCAAAGCAGGAGACTTGAAACTGTCCACCTGTATTGGCAGTTTGTCAGTCACTTTTTTCATGAAGCAGGAACCCTGTAGCAATGTCCATCTTGTATCAGCAATCATTTTCCTGTGGGTTCTGCATGTCCAGTTCATATAGCATAAAGGCCAACAGTCTTGCCCAAATGGCTAGTCTTACCATATTGAAAGCAAACTCTATAACAAGTTTCTTTGATATCCATCTTCCTTTTTTGATGCAGGTGGTGTTGCCAGAAGCAGTTATGTCTCACTGTCAAGAAAAATCCTAAACTATTTTAAATGCCATATTCTGTAGGTCTTTGAAAGGTTTGAAGAATGCCTATGTAATTGAAATGTATCTCTATATATCTAGAAAGCCTAACTAACACTGTAAGTTTTGACTATTATAGGTAACTATCTAAAATCTGTACTAAATTTACATTTTAAATGAGTTATATAAACACAATACCTAAACAAGAGGAAAAATATACATATCATAAAATTGACCTTAAATTTGTATCTATAAATGAAGATCAATTCCAAAACAAAGTATTCATATCTATCCAATAATCCCCTTTTTACCTTTAAACAGATTGGTTGTGGTCAATAACCATTTATAACCAAGCGTATTTAAATGAAAACAAACATTTATAGACAATATTTGGGAATTTGGGCATCATTCTTTCTAAACTGCTTCCAGCTGGTAGGGGCACTGCCATGGGAATCCTAAGAAGACACAGAAATTCTGGTTTTAATGGTCTGCAAGGCTGCCTTGTCCCACCTGTTTTGAATGTTAGATCACCTGGGATGCTGTTTCAGGGGGTCTGGCTTGATCAAATCATGTTAGTCTGGAAGAAATCCACAGCTTTTTATTTTCTGTGGAAACAAAAATAGACATCCTTTTCCCGAGTAACCTGTCCTTAGACTTAAATTTTGGAGTCAAAGTATTATAAAAATATAGAAATTGGATTAATCCAGCAGCATTTGTTTTAACAGTTGTTGCTATTTCCTCAGTAAAAAGACAATATAAAACCATATAGTATCCAGACTCTTTTTTTCTTTGTGCTTTCCATCTTTACATGGATTTTTTATTACTCTCTTCTACTTCTATTTTTTCATTTTTTGAGACAGGGTTTCTCTGTGTAACTTTTATCTGTTCTGGAATTAACTCTGTATACCAGGTTTACTTTGAAATTACATAGATCTGCTTGCCTTTGTCTCCTGAGTGCTGGAGTTAAAGGCGTGTGCCACCACACTCAGCTACTCTCTGTGTTTTTATTATTCTTTTAAAAACCATTTTATCCTGTTTCTTTTTTTTCTTTCAAGCCTATGTATATTTTAAAACACACTGTAAACCTTTAACAGTTGTTCTTATCTGAATCTGTGTTTACTGTAAATCTTTATCTTTTTTTGGCCACAAGTCTTTTATCTGGTAAACAACAACATTGCTAAAATGAAAGTCATAGCTGTATTAGCTGAGGTCTATCCAAGGATGGTGGTGGGTACCTTTCCTGCCAGAACTGAGAGTTGTGCTCACTGCCTTGGTCTACGCTGCCATCCAGCAGCATGCTGCTGGCTTGGTGATGTGATCACTGCTATTGCCAGCTCTCGTGCACACCATTAAGTTGTTAGCAGAGCTCTTTAAAAGTCTTGTGGTTTTTTGCCACTCATACTGAGTCAGGAAACCTCTCTGTCTCTAGCAAAAGAGTCCATCCTAGAAAAATGATGCTACCAAGAAGCCTTGCTTGTCTCTGTTATTTTGTTTCTAAAACCCCTTTTTAAGCTTTTTAAAATTTTAAGTGTAAGTTCTTATTAGCCACGTTGAAGGCCCCATTTTGTTATGAGTAGGTTTTGGTCCCAGAGCCACGCCAGCCCCAAATAACACACAGAGACGCTGTATTAGATATAAAGCCTATTACTAGCATGTCTTATTGGCTAGCTCTGTCTTAATTAAATATTAACCAATTTCTATTAATCTAAGTATTTCTCTTACCAGAGAGAGGGCCCAGCATTCTACTCTCTCCATCTTCCATGTTGAATCTCCTCCCTACTTCTTCCTCTCTCTTCCTTGTCTCCTAGTGTCCCGCCTATCTTGCTTTCCTGTGCTTTATTCATTAACCAATATGAGAAACATATTTACAGAATGACATCTCCCATCATCTGAGCTTCCCTTCCCTTCCCCAGCCTCTGATTCCATTAAAACCCAGCCATTTTGTCCATAAGTTCTCTTGGTTCCTAGTTTTGTCTTCTTTGCTCTCTTGCTCCTCAGCTCTGGGTTCCCTCTCCTTTCTCGTCCTCTCTCCCTCTCCAAGTCTCTCACTGCCTAGTCTAGTCTTCTGGCCATATTCAGTCTGGCCCCTGGCTGTTCCATCCTCATATCTACAATAAGACCCCTTGCTCACCCATAGTTATAATGGTCATGTCCTCGTTTTCAGTCATCTAGTAAACAGCCAATGGTGTTTCCCTGCTCCTAGTTATTCAGTGGGAATATGGCCAGGATCAGCTACAGGAAGGAAGAGCCCTTACTCATCTACCTCTGCATTTCCAGGTGGAATAAAACATCTCCATCCAAAGCCACATTTTCAGGGCAGTCATCCAGCTCCTGGGAGAGAATCTCATCTGAGTTCTGTCTCTACCACACAGCTTCTTAGCCATCCCTGGAAGGGACTCTTGCTTGTCTATCCATCTTAGGACCAGATATAATAGAAATCTAGTCTTATCTTGAGGCCTTGGATTTTTCCCACCCTCAAAAATGACTTGAGGAGTTTTTAAGAAAGAAGGTACTGCAATACGTCTACTTGGGTGCTGGCCAACACCCGCCTTACAGCAGGAACTTGGCCTATGTCCATTGCATTTTGTTAAGCCACTCTTTATCAAGGTCTTACTAACACACAAAATGCTGTACATATTTACTATGTGCAACTGAGTGGTAGTACCTCTCATTTTAACTGGGGAGATACTTCCTGGGGAAATTCCAGATTCTGACGCTCATGAGGTCAGGAGAGTCCTAGTTTAGTCAGAAAACAGAACCCCCTGTGACAGACAGCTTTAAAAAAGTACAGGGTTAATCTTGGGGCCACTAGAGGAGACAGCTGGGGAGAAGGCTCAGTGGGTAAGAACATTTGCTGCTAAGAAAAGCAGAGTTCAAAATCTTCAGCACTCACACAGCAGCCAGGTATGGTGGCATGCAGCTGTAACCCAGCACTGCAGCCATAGAAACAGGAAGCTTCATGCTCCTTGAGAGACCCTATCTCAAAAAATAAGGTAGAGCGTGTATTTGTCCCCAACAGTAGATAAATGGAATGTCCCGCTCCAAGGAAGAACCCACACACCCACCCAACAGCGATGGCTTGCCAGTTTGTGCTCACATATTGTAGCATGCGTATGTATTTTTGTGTGTAGGATGTTGATAGTGGAGGAGTATGTGTGAGAGAGAGAGGGAGAACCTACTTTTTCTCTGTTTTGCTCTAATTGAACTGTTCCAATAAATAAATAAATAAATAAATAAATAAATAAACAAACAAACAAATAAAGTCTATTGCAAAACAAGAAAAAAGTTTAAAAACCCTTTCAGAACTCAATATACTGATGAGGATAAATAAGTAGAAGGAAAGCAGGGGGCACTGATGCCTGTGTGCAGGGAAGGCTGCCTCTGGTGGAGAAAGAGGTCCAAACATGAGGCAGCATGGAGTACCGCACCGCTTCTAACAGAGCACATACTGTGCCATATCTTAGCCTGGGCAAGGTGCACGGATACTTATGTCTTTACCATTATTTTTATGCAAGTGTGGTATGTGTGCTTGTGTCTATGTACATGTATGTGGAGGCATTGGATATCTTCTTTCTCAGTTGTTCCCAGCTTTTCTTTGAAAACAAGGTCTATCACTGAACCTAGAGCTCACTGATGCAGCTGGACTCGCTGGCCAGCAAGCTGAGGAATCCTCCTGCCTCTGCCTCTGTCTCTACAGTGCTGCAGTTACAGCCACACCTTTGGATCCAGCTTTCTCTACGAGTGCTGGAGATCTGGATTGGGATCCTCTTTCTTGAATGGCAAGCACTTTCCAGACTAAACCCTCACCCCCTCACTTCATTATTATTCATGTTAGATATGTTTATTACATATCCATTTTGCATTTTATTGTTTTAAGAATGCTTATATATTCTTTTTGTGTTCTTGTGTATGGGTGATACACTTTGAATTTTAAAGATTAAAGTAGACAAACCTGAGGGAGTCAGGAGCTCACAGCAGGAAAATCTAAGCTCTGGTCCCCACTATCTGGAGCCTGAGCAGCCTTTCATAAGCCAGCAGAACTGTTCCTTGTCCTGACAAGTCTGACGTCAGTAAATGTCACACAAATAGCATGGCTGAACAAAAGCTGGGGGATTGGGGCGGTGGCGTGGTGGATGACATGACAGGCAAGGTGGGCTCTTTGCACAGTGCAGGGTGACAAGGGGAGTGTGAGCATGGCTAGCCAGCAGTGCCTGTGGGTGATGACAGCCATCTCATGCAGTTCATCTCTAAAGGCAAAATCATCAAAGACTAGGCATCCCAAACCAGCATGACTCAATGCCATCACTCAGCTTAGAGAACTCAAGGAAGATGTCTGGCCCTGGCATCCCTGAGGAGGGAGAGATGCTATTTCTGTTCTGCAATGGACAACTCACTACCTGCTTTGTGCATGAATAGCCTGGGAATCATGGTGTGTGTGTGTGTGTGTGTGTGTGTGTGTGTGTGTGTGCATGTGTGTGTGTGTGAAGTGAAGTGAACAAGGGGTAGAAGTTCAGTCACTAAGTACAGGAGAGGTGAAGGGCCTAAGTGGAGACCTTAGCTCTCCTGGAACCTTCTGTGTCCTTTGTTGTCCTAAACTCTTTCTTTGCACAGCTGTAATGTCTGCATGACTTTGTTCACATAAAAACCTCTGGGAAGTGCTTGGTTGCCCATGTGCTCTGATCCTTGCTTTGGGAACTGCTTTTCACCCATTACAATTATTTCCATATGTAAAGGGATTATACTTGAGAATGCCTCTGTAAGGGCATCAAGTCCTATCCAGCCTTCCCAGCTATTAGTCCAGCCATTAGCCCCACAAAGGAAAACCTTTGTGGTTCAAGTGGGTTTTCCTGTGCTGTAAAATGTATGGATGTTCATAGAAGTGATTCAGCCACCTCAGTAGGTCCCTGTGAATGGGTCCTGGCCGTGGTTGGGACACCTATCCAGCAGCTAAGGCCATAGGGAAGATGATAAGGAACACTACACAATTGGCCCAGGTCACTAAGGAAGTGGCTTCAAGGAGGGAGCTTAGCTTCCAGTCTTGCCGCTAGGACCCAGTTGTGGTCTAGCGAAAGCCTCCAAAAGCACCCGAGGCTTGTCCTGGGCCCACAGGCAGTCCAGTTCTCACCTAGGTTTCCTGTCATTGCTGCAAGTCTGAGAGAGGTCTTGGGAGAAACACCTTTGTGAAGGGGACCATGGGATCAAGCCCAGCAGAAGGAGAGACAGTGATGGGCTTCCCCTCTTTTGTTCTTGGCAAGCTTCCTTCTAGGAGCTCCAGGGAGGGGAATTTGATAACCATGGAAGTTCACTCTTAGATAGCCCCAGACTTGTCTGGCTCACAGCCAAGCCCTCTGGGAGGGGAACTGCCAGCAAGGACTTCAAAATCCATTTGTCTTCTCTTCTTATGCCTGCCTCCTCCTTTACCCCCTCTCCTGCCCCTGCCTCTGGCAACCCTGTCCCCCAGGATCTTAGCTGGACAGATCTGGTTTCATCCTTCTCTGCTGGTTACAGCCACAGAACCATACCAAGGCTTTCCTTTGTTCTCATATTTTTCTCTTAATCCCTCCCTCATCTGCTTTATACAAGAGGACACCAATCTGCTACATATTTGACACCTACCACTTCATCTACCTGCCATCTATCACTTTTGCTTTGAACTTTAATTACATAAGAGTATTGGGTCAAATTTGCATCCCATCATTTAAGTTTTCAAGCTCAACATTGGTTTCAAAATTACTTTATAGGGATCTAAAACTGCACATATTTCAGGTTCACAACTTATTGCATAAGCCCCCCTCAAACTATCATCATGATTTTCAATGAACATACTTATTACCCCTAAATTTTCTTCCTGTCCCTTCAGAATTCTTTCTCTATGTACCATCACTATCATACCAGTTTGTATTTTCTAGAATTTTGCAGAAATAAAATTATACACTCCATGTATAATTTAGTATGGCTTTCTCTGCTTACTCACTTTGAGATTCGTTTATATTGTGGAAGGTATCAACAATTCATTCCTCTTTGTAACAAACCATAGTGACCACTGGGTATGGTCTTCCTACACTTTGTTCATCCCTTCACCATGTTGATAAATGCTTGGATTGTTTCCACTTTGGGATTATAACAATAAAATTGGCATGTCATCATTCACACACAATTCTTTGTGTGGATGTATGAGTTCATCTGTAAGTGTGAAGGAACTGTGAAGGTGTGTGCTTAACTTTTCAAGACACGTTCAAGGGCTGTGTCTATAGTTTCCTTGCCTACCAGCCCAGAAGTCTTGGGATTGATACAACACACATCAAAAACATGAGCATGCTTGTGAACCCAGCTCTCAGGAAGTAAAGGTAGGGGGATCAGAAGTTCAAGGTCATCTCCAGCCACAGCAGTCTCAATGTTGAGACCAGCCTGGTCTGCATGAGACCCAGTCTCAAAAATAATAAATAGGCACTAAAAATAGTCAAAATGTTTCTATTTCATAGCATTACCAGTTGGGCATGTAAATTTGGATTCCACCAAATCCATACCAATACTTGCTTGATGTGTTGTTAGTTTTAAACCCTTTTTAATAGGTATATAATAGTCATTTCATTGTGATTGTGAATTTGCATATGATCCAAAACAAACAACTTTGACCATCTTTACAAATCTTATTTTCTATTTGTTTGTCTTCTTTGGTAAGAAGTCTATTCAAGGCTTGCTCATCTTTCTCTCTTTTTTTTAAACTGGGTTATATTTCCTTGTGTGTTTTATTGTGATAAAGTCTTTGTAACAAAGAAGTCACCATTTTAGCATTTTAAGTGTACCATTCAGTAGCATCAAATGCATTAGCTGTGTTGCACAACAAGCATCATTATTTCCAAACTTTACCATCATCTTACACAGGCACTATATACCTATTACATAACCCCCCCAGCCTCTGGCAATCTCTACCTATACACTGAATCATATGGTAACTTCATATTTATTTTTTAAATATAATTTTTATTGATTCTTTGGGAATTTCACATCATGTACCCCAATTCCTCATTTCCCAGTCCCTCCATATCCACCCCTGATTCCCATAGCATCCCCCCAAAAGAAAATTAAAAAAATATTAGTGGAAAACAAAACAAGCAAAAAAGAAAAAAATCTGCTTTGCTCCTTCATCTTTCCCACCTCTCCAATACCTCTTCATTCTTCTTAGTGGCCTTGGTGGGGGCTATGGTGTGTCACACAATCTACTCTTTTGTCCTTTTTGCTTTACTTGCAAATGTTCATTGTAATGAGTTGTTGGTCTGGTTCAACCATCAACACTGGACCCTCACCAAAATCATCTCCAGATAGCCCTCTATTGCCCCAAGTCATGGAGACCTGTTACGAGTAAGGTTTTTCTGCTGGTCTGGTCCCACTTCTGCGCCAGCCCCAAATAACACACAGAGACTCTGTATTTGATATTATGTTGTTGGCCAGTTATTTGTTTCTTATTGGCTAGCTCTGTCTTAATTATTAACCCATTTCTATTAATCTAAATATTTCCACATGGTCTCATCTTACCGGAGAGTGGGGCTGGTGTCTGCTCTCTCCAGTCTCTCCATGTTGACTCCTCCCTACTACTTCCTTGAATCCTCATCTCCTAGTCCCTCCTCTCTTGCTTTCCTGTTGGCCAACAGTGCTTTATTCATTAACCAGTATGAAAAACATATTTACAGAATGACATCTCCCATCATCTCCTCTTTTCTGTCTAAATAAAAAGAAGGGTTTTAACCTTAACATAGCAAAACATATCATACAAGAGTTATCAAATAAGAATCACAGTTAACAATATTTAGTCCATTAACATTTAGTAAGATTTAAGAAAATATTACATCATCTATTCTATCTTTGTGAGTCTAAAGTCCTATATGTAACTTATCTTTAAGCCTAACTAAGGAAAACTATAACCATAACTATTTGTCTTCAACTCCTTCAAAGACCACAGAAGGATAATACATAAACTCTAGAAATGACAGAGACATCTTGCTACCTGGTCAGGCACCTGAAGTTCTTCTGTAATGTTCCATCTTCAGCATATAGGCCATAGTGTGTCTGGCAGACTCTGTAGCAAAGCAGGAAACTTTAAACTGTCCACGTGTAGTGGCAGTTTGTTAGTCACTTTTCTCTGTGTCCTGCAGACTAGACTATCTGGCAGACTCTTCCACGAAGTAGGAACCTTGTAGCAATGTTCATCTTACATTAGCAGTCTTGTATGTCCAGTTTATACAGCATAAAGTCAAACAGTCCAGACAAGAGTAATTTCTTGCCCAAATGGCTAGTCTTGCCATATTGGGAGTAAACTCCATAGTGTTTTTCCTTCAATATCCATCTTCCTTTCTGACACAGGTGGTGTTGCCAGGAGCAGTTGTGCCTCATTGTCAAGAAAAACCCTAAACCATTTTAAATGCCATATTCTGTAGGTCTTTGAAAGGCTTGAAGAATGCCTGTCTATCTCAAATACATCTCTGTGTATCTTGAAAAATCTAACTAACTTAACTCTATGTTTTAACTATTATAGGTAATTATAATCTGTACTAAATTATACATTACATATCTAAATGAGCTATATAAACACAATACCTAAACAAATACAGAGTCTCTGTGTGTTATTTGGGGCTGGTGTGGCAGTGGGACCAGACCAACTGGAGGGAAAACCTACTTGCAACAGAGACCCCGCAGCCATGGTTCTGCAGGGCTAGTCCCTTCACACACTCTGGCAGGTCACAGATGGGGTAGATGCTGAGGTGGGCCAACTCAAAGCCCTGGATATGGATCTGGGTGGTAGCTGATTTGGTCAGTCCCAGCTGCTGGGGCCACTCTCCTCAGGAGAGGGGCAGAGCCAGCTCTTCTACAACCAAGCCATTGGGCTGGCTGTAATGAGGGGTGGGACCATCCCTCCTGAATATGGGCTCAGCTCTCCCATGAGAGGCTGGACCAGCTTCTTCTGCTGCAGTGCCCATGGACCTAGACATTGCCCTTGGCAGCAGCTAGGCACAGACATCATCATAGCCCAGGGTGGCGGCACAGGACAGGCCACACAGCTTGGCATATTTCTGGTGGAAATGCAGCCCATGGACACTAACATGGCCTCAGGTTGTGGCCCAGACCCAGACTTCAGGCATCCATGTGGCCTTTGATGGTAACATGGGCCCCAGATGTCAACACAGAGCCTGGCTGGTGTAGGACAGCAGACCCAGATAAGGGTCTCAGCAGCAGCCCAGGCCTGGATGTCACCATGGCCTTGGGCGGCAAGCAGGCCACCCACATCAGCCTGCTCCTCACTGCCTGGGCTTCTTCAGTCCTGCCTTTTGTCTGCTTCTTGTTCTCTCTCATTTCTCCATCATGCATTTGCTCATCATAATGGCATCTACTTGCCTGGCATCTTGTGACTCTGGGCAGGCTTGTGATGTCTTCCATCAACCCAGGCCCATGAGAACTCAGGTGGACCTGTGTCTGTCTTTCACCTTCCTGGGATGTATATTTAATTTTTTTAGACACTGACTCTTCAAAAGAAACCACAGTTTGTTACTTTCCCACCACGAATGGATAGATTCCCATCTCTCCATTTCCTCACTGACAGTACTATTGAGGGCAATTGTGGTTGGTTTTAGAACATGAAACAAATAGTATGTAATCAATAACTTCTCTGTGCTCATTTGAGCTCAGTGGAGCTTTGATATTAGCAGCTAAGTGTATTTGACAAGTACAAGCCAGTTACAGAGATCTGATTATGGTTTCTCTGCTCTATTTTGTCTTTTAAAGCATCCTTGATCTAGGAAGACCACTTTGAGTGACATACATGAGAAAGGAGACACACCATCTAACTGCTGAGCATGTGTCGACTATTAGTATTCTCTATGTATCAGCAATGTCTGTGGTGCTGGGCGCACACACTCACACATTAGCAAGACAGGGTTATTTAAATAATGGGGGCCTTCCATGCCCCTTCTCTTTCTCACTAGTAAGGACTTTTTAACATCTGGCCCCTAATCATTGTTGCTGTTTTTAATCTACCCCACGGGGAGCTGCCAAACTGAAACTGATCTGGACAAGAAATAAAGCAAGAGGAGCATGGGATTGATGCTTGCTTAGCACATTTGACAGCTGGAGTGGAGTATCCACCAGAGAACACTGCTCAGACTCGGGTTTAAGCCAATAGAAAGTCCTTAAATGCCAGTTCATGACTATCCTGGGTGTTCAAGACCTCAGTGTAGCCTTGAGCCTTTCTCTGGGTGAGCTTTTAAACACACACACACACACACACACACACACACACACACACACACACACACACACACACAATTTCCTGCACTGACATACTTCAATTAACAAGGACAGTTAGCCAGAAGCAGAATTACAGAAGTCAAAAAACAAGGTTAGTACATTTAGAGACTTTCCCAGAACTATGGACTTTGATAGATTAGGCTTTTATTTTAGTTTGGCAGGTGGTGCTGTCTACCTGCTGAGTTTTACAGCCTGAATGGTATTTCCATCATGGAGTCAGTTGTGCTAAGGGCTGGGGCCTTGCAGAAGGAGTCTTTGAGACATCTGATTTGATCAATTCCCCTTTTATTCATATATTCAATAAATATAACCAAGTGCCTATGATACCAGGCACCTCTTAGGTAGGCCCTTCTTTCTATTTTCAAGAATTTTCCAAGTTATTAGTAGTTCACACCACAAAGAGAGGCAACATAGCTTGGCTCCTTGGTTTGCAGAGGAGAAACTGACTGAACATCTATGAGGGGAAAAGCATTTCTGGACCATCACTACTGTTAGTGGCTGTGTGATCACGCACAGATAGGACAAGCTTCTATTGTTCTATTTTCCCTGTAATGATTGAAGCCATGGTTCTGGTATCCAAATTCTCAAAACTCAGAGTAAGGCAAAGCCCTACTCATAGCCACCAACAGAACCTGGCCTATGCTTGAATCAATTACAGGTGCCAAGCAGTGAGTGGCAGCCACTGGAACAGAGACAAGATCTGTGTCACCTCCTGTGACAAGCTTTTGTGGAGGGCTGTAGACAACCTACCAGGGCATCACATTTAAGGAAGCTCCCAGCATTCGACTCACTTCTGGATGCCTTCTGCTAATATAGAATAACCCTGTGGAGACTAGATCCTGACACCCTAAACAAAGGGATCCATCGGGGTCTGTCACATTTTTGATTTGAGAAAACAAGAAAAGGGCGAGCTAGGGAGGGGCAACTGCCACCGCAGTGGTGACCCTCAGGTCACTTCTAGGACATTCTTAAAGAAGCCAGTGGACTTACCTGTAGAGAGCAGTTAAGGGAATTTTCCGGTTAGATTCTGCTGGGAAAATATGCACTCATTCTGATCTTGAAAGATGGGGATTCAAGATCAGAGTTTACTTAGCTTTCCAGTGTCCTGATATGCAAAGCTTGGTTAATATACCTTCCTGCCACCCTTAGAAGGCTCTTGGCGTTAGCAGAGACACCTGACCTGAAATCAGGGTCACAAATTCAAGCCATGGCTCTTGCCAAGCCAGAAGCATGCTGACTAATTTAAGAAAGCTCTGTTTTCTTCAGTTTCTCAATCTCCAAGGAAGCATAATCACGCTCTCACCTTTCTGGCTTCTGTGAATGCAAAGAAGTGTGCAGGGTGTGAATTAACAGTGGAGGTACAGCCCTCAGGTTTGAATTCAGGTGTGCCAGAATCCGGGCCATTCCAGCCCAAACAAATCAAAAGTTGGAGTCACTTAAATACATAAAGAATTTGACTCCGCTCCCTTTCTCTTTCTTTCTTTGTATGGAAGGGATGGTCTGCCCTATTTTCCAGTGAATCTGGATTGCAGCCTCAGAGGCTGAAGACTAGGTTGGTGTCCTCCCAGCTGCTACGGAATTAGGCACCCGGGAGTCGGCTCGCGCCTGCCACCTGGTGTCACGTCCCACCTACTGCTTACAAACCACGTGTAAGAAAGTGCTTACAACCTAACTACGCACGTTGGTTTCGACCGGCTCTAACCAATAAGGACAGGGAAGGCGGGGCAGAGGAAAACAAAAGTCCAATCACCTCCTATTTTCCAAGGAGAAGGTGGGGCTTGGTATTTACCATGTTGGGTTTGTCCGCAGCGCTAATTACTTTTTCCGAAGGCTGCAGGGCTTCACTCCGGCTGGCGTCGCCGCCTCGCGAGTCCCTGCTCTGCCACTACGGTCTTGGGGGCTGTTGGTCCCGAGTACCATGTGCGACGGCGCCCTGCTGCCCCCTCTCGTCCTGTCCTTGCTGCTGCTGGTGTGGGGACTGGACCCGGGCACAGGTAGTGTTGCTTGCTCTCGCAGCCACCTTCCCCGTGCCCTCCCTAAGCATCCTGGCGCGCGGGTGCATGGGTGGACTGCTGACAGCATCACCGGAGGAGGAGGGCAAAGCCTTCGGCCGGGGAACTGGGCTTCGGTTCCCCTCCGAAAGCTGATGGCGAGCGGTCTCCTGGGGCGATCGGGTGGCCTCGCCGGGTCGCAGAGGCCCGGCTCAGGGAGGAAAGGGAGTGCGAGGTCATGGCTGAGTGATCCACAAGGAACCCTGAAAGCCAATACCGGAGCCGCCGCAGCGGGGGGTATGGTGGCCAGGCGGGTGCTGACGCATGTCCTCTCTCCCCGCAGCTGTCGGCGACGCGGCGGCCGACGTGGAGGTGGTGCTCCCGAGGCGACTGCACCCCGACGACGTGCACCTGCAGCTGCTGCCGGGAGTAGCGGGGCTGCGGCGGTGGCGGCGACCGCGAGCATCTCCAAGTGGCCCTCGTGCAGGGACCGGAGAGCGCGCCCTGCTGCTGCACCTGCCGGCCTTTGGGCGCGACCTGTACTTGCAGCTGCGCCGAGACCTGCGCTTCCTGTCTCCGGGCTTCGAGGTGGAGGAGGCGGGTGCTGCGGGGAGCAGCGAACACCCTGCCGAGCTGTGCTTCTACTCAGGACGAGTCCTGGGCCACCGGGGCTCCCTCGTCTCCCTCAGCGCCTGCGGCGCCTCCGGCGGCCTGGTACTGCCCGCGCCCCCTATGGGTCTGCTCTGCCCAGTCTGTCGCTTCGCTTGGGGGTGGTCCCGCAGAGGGCTGGGCGGGAGATCCTTCCTTCCTATTTCCCTCTTTTGGCCTTCCAGACTGTGCCATCTGAGCAGAGGGGATGCCAGGGGAGGCCTGTCATTGTCCCAGCTTCTGTTACATGCTGAACCTGGCCGAGGTGGGGTTGCGTTGAGAAATTAGCTATAGCTCACCTAGGGTAATTCACTGTGGGGCCCCACTCACCCAGTATCAGCACAGGTGTGTGTGTGTGTGTGTGTGTGTGTGTGTGTGCACGTGTTACGGGAAAAACACTTGTGTTGATTTCTTCTGTCTGAGGACGGGGTAGTAATCTACCTCTCTTTTATCTTTTGAGTCTTCTTTTTACCCAGGCAGGCCATGTGAGCTAGGATGTAAGACCAAGAGAGTGAGGCCTTATATTTCCCTACCCCATAGCAGGCATTTTTCTGGGTCCACCCGCACTGAGAGCTGTGGGTTGCTCACCTGTCCCAGGTGTAAGCCCAAGCTGCATCTCTATAAGACCTAGAGACACCTGTGACAAGTACACTGAGAGGCAAAGGGAATTTGGGGGTGTTTTTGTCAGTTTGTGCTCACACTTGAGCACTTGGCTACATTGGTGTCATGCCAAATTCTCTGCTTCTCTGTGGTGCCCCCAAGGAAAGCACATGGCTGGCAGATGGGTTGCCCCGGAAGAGCCTGACATCACCCAGAGCATTCGATGTAGTTTTGTTTCTCTGCACTTTGTCACAGGAGACCTCTGAGATAGCAGTTTCTGATACTGTGTTTTTGGCAGCTCACCCTGGGCCAAAGAAGTTGGTCCCTTCACCACCTTCTATCACCACCTACAATTCTCCGGCCTTCACTTACACCATTAGCAGCAAAGCTGGAAAGTCTGTGACTCCAAGATTAGCCTATGTGAGGATTCTGCTCTCTTAGCACTGGGTTGGGGCTGGGGGGGACCTGGGGATGTAATGTCCTGGGAAGCGGCCTAATTTTCAGAAGTCTCATTTTAGGGTATGGTTTACTTTTGCTTAACTGGGAGAACTTGGCAGCCTTGGTTGAAAAGAAGGCAAAGGCACAGATTGTGGTGGGGCCTGGTAGGTGTTAACTCAGAACAGGGGCAAGGAGTGTGGGCTGTGGACAAGGAGACTTAAGTGGGAGTGAGAAAGGCTCAGATCACTGTAGGACTCGGGTCAGGGCTGTATCGTGTTCTGGGAGGGACTCAAAGGTCCACATCATTTTTCCTGTTTTTGCCAAAGTGTTTCAAGGCTAGGTCACATCCCTGTACTGTACATGGAAACATCTGAATCCCATTTGCTGCGGTTTCGTGAGTTTCTGGAGAGGTCAGAGTTTATACTTCTTGGTGTAAAGTTTCCAAGTGAGGAGCTATCTGTGAAAGAGCCCAGGCTGGAAATCTGGAGAACATTGATTTAAAGTCCTCACAGGGTGAGTGCTGAGTCTCCTCACAGATGGCCTCTGAGCCAGCTTTTCAGGAAGACTGCATTGCCCTTCAGCACCATGTGAGGGCGCTGTGCTTTAGAGAAAGAAACCCAGCCAACACTCTGAGTTCACCCCTAGCCAGTTGCGGGTGGACTTGTAAGTCTTTAGATTTTTCAATTCCAGTTTGAGAAGACACTGCTGTTGTTTAGTCTGTCTTATTCATCCTGTTTGTGCAAGCTGCACACTAGACATTCTCCCCAAGTTACACGTAGACAGAGGCTGAAAGCAGGAGGGAAGAGGCATGGCTGGGAGCTGGTCTCCTAGTGTCAAGGTGGTCCTGGACCACAAAGGAAAGGATGCCTTTGACCTTAAGCTACCTGAGATTGCCCTGCATCCCACCTTTGGTGTGATTGTTCACCCAGACAGATGATAAAGTTGGGTTGGTCCTTTGATCATGGTAGAAGCTCTTGGAAGTATGCAGCTGTGTGTGAATTTGCCTGGAGGGTCTCAGATACAAGGCATGAGTAGGGAGGGTCATCCAGAAGATAGCCCTTGCTAGCTATGGATGGATGGAATATTTCAAAAGGCTTCTTGTATTGAAAGAATCATGTTGAGCAGGGGTTGGCAGAGTATTCCCAGAAAGGAGCAGAAAGTGAATATTTTAAGCTTTACAAGCCATCTAGTCTTGTCTTCTTAGCGCCTCCCTTTTGAGTGACAGCAGCTATGGGAGATATATAAGCATGTGGGTGCTGGGGTAGCATTTTGGTCATTAGTACATTTTGCCACAGCTCATGCCTACAAATGGCTGTGTTTGCACAGCCGCAGGAGTAGTGTGAGTTTTGTCTGTCTCCATGGTGTTATGCTGTTGGGGGTCTGTTTAGAAGGAGCTACATCACCAGGATAGAGCACTGCTAAGTTGTTTATGGGGCACAGAGTATAAGTTGGCCCCCACCCCATCACCCTGAACGCAGCGGGCGGAGGTGTGGGGCTGTGGTGTTTCCCCTTCTTTGTCTTATCAGGAAGAGCTATGCCAGCTGCACTTTTTGGATCTTCAAAGACCCCAGGATTAATTGTTTTCTGTTTCTGCTGTTTCATTTTATTTACATTTCAGGGAGTCTTTAGATGTAGCGTAGTTTTGGAAGGATTCCTGTAACCATGGAATTGGAAAGCAATGAGCTTTTGGCTGGTGGAGAAGGTATCTCTCCCTAATGAATTCACCCAAGCCTCCTGTGATTAGCACCAGGTGATGAGGCGCCAGCAGAATTCCAAATTGGACTTCATGAGTGGACAAGGCAATGGGGGGGGGGGAGGGGCACTTCAGGAAGAGAAAGAATGCCAATCTCAGCAAAGGCTCTTCCTGGCTCGTCTGAAATGAGTGGGCGAAAGGACTGCTTTAGGAAGGGGGAGGTCCCAGGGGAGGTCTTCAGGCTGCCACTGGGTCTGATGGACTGAGCAGTGGCTATGTTTCCTCTTGAAGTTCCGCCATTAGAATCTGTTCACTCACTCTTGGCTGAGGTCTGCAAGGGCATACTATAGGTGAGCCATGGGGCCAGAGAGGACACCAAAGCATCCTGGCTGTGGAGAATTACGTAGCCTGGCCCATTTCCAAGGTCACCCCAGAAGGACCAGGAAAAGTGGAGTGCCCCTAGGCATGCCTCTTCTTAAGTCACAGCCACATGCTGAACATATTGGTGTATTCGTCCTGTGTATTAGACACTGAGTTATGTCAGTGACCACCTATCCTCTGGCTGGTCAGCAAACACAGTTTTTTGTGACCCATCATTGGTGTTTGTGTGTGTGTGAGTGTGAGTGCATGTGTGCCTTTTACAAATAATCCTCTCTTGGAGGCTTTTCTTGCAGCCTGTAGAGAGTACATACTTTGGCTTTTAGAGAAGAAGTGTGCAGATAGGAGTGGATGGGGACTAAGGCTGCCTGGCCAATGAGTTCTCCAGCAGCAGCTGAGATTACAAGAGGCTGGCATGCTGTTCTAAGAAGGGCAGCTGGCAGTCACTGGCCTTGGAATCAGGAGACAGGGTTGGGATGCTGGCCTTGCACTTTACAAGATAGCATTATCCAGCTGACTGTGGTGGGTCTATTACTAAATTGCCTAGTTTTTTAACTTGAAGTCTCATTGTCAAGTACAGCTGTGGAGGACTTAGTTTGGGTAAAAATTCTTAGAGTGTGGTGACTTTTCCAAAGGGATCCAATAGACTGAACTGCATTGTGAGTTATCATCATATTGACACAGGCACAGATATGACTGAAGAACTGGCCATGTAAAGTGTAAATATGCTGGGAATTACAAAACACACTCTTGGGGCTTTGTAGACTGAGTGGATGCCAAGAGGCAGGAATACAGGAAGGACAAAATACTGCTGTGAAGTTTGGATCTGTAGGTGGGAGAGTGAAAGAGAATCTGAATAGAAAGCTCCAAGGACTCTGGCCTCCTTGTGGGAGGACATTCACAGTCTCAAAGTGACTTCTCCTTTGACCTTTTTGCCCTCCAAGCCATTTGCACTTCTATTTGTCCTGCTCAGCAACTTCACCTATCTGCAGCTTTCCAGAACATCCCAGAACCTGTTAGAAAGCCAGACTCTGGCTCCTTCTGGAGCATGACCTAGGGGGGCTCGTATTTCTCTTTGAAATTATACCAGGTGGCATCATTTTCTAGAAAGAAAAACAGAAGGTAGTGGTGGGTGTGCGTGTGCATGCGTGTGTGTGTGTGTGTGTGTGTGTGTGTGTGTGTGTGTGTGTGTGTGGTGCTGGGATTACATGCACTCCCTTTACACAAGTTCTGAGGATCAAGTTCAGGTGTTTATGCTTGCAATACTATTTCCCTATTAAGCTATCTCCCACTAAGCAATATCTCCTAGCCCCTGACTGCATTCTTGAAGCCTATTCCCTGAATGCTGAATGACAATGATAGCCTGACCTTGGTGTATGACAGGAAATGTTTCTGCAACTTTTAGATCTGCAACAGTCACAGTCACTGGTTGGCCTGTCTGAGGGGTATGTTTTTCTGCTTAGGTATGCAAATGAATGGTCCTGTTTTTGTCATTTACATAAAGAAACTGCCTGGTCCATTGAGACTGTAACCTTGATCAAGTCTTTAACTCTTGAAGCCATTCAAATGATAAATGGCATTGGCTTGCTGTTGATGGAATAGAATAAGATAGAATCTGTGAAATCTTTCAATGACTTATTAAGACATTAAACCCAAGTTTCTCCTCTAGCCCTACAGGTTATTCAGTTATAAACCCATCAGTCACTGTCCCTTACCTGCCATGTGCAGAATGCTTGGGTAGGCCCCTATCAAGCTTCGAAGATAAATGCAACAGAGCCCTGTCTGAGAAGATGGTACTTATGTGCGTGGAAGGAGGGCATCCTTCAGCTTTTGGGGAAGCTGAGCCAGGGAAGCAAGAGGAGATTCTGGAAGATGAATACTGGGTCCAGGCAGGGTAGAGCATTAGTCAAAAGAGGGATGGAGCTGAAGGGAGTAGATGCCATGTAATAGGACAGAA